ACCGCAGCCCTCCAGCAGCCAGGTTTAGGGTGTGAATGGGGAAGGGGGTGTCCCCACACTCAGACCCGCTGCACATTTGGATGCACTTGGGGACAGGGGTCACTGCAGCCCTAACACCTCATTTCCACCCAAAAAAAAAAAAAGCCTGGAGTGCCAAATTCCTGGGGGGAGATGGATAGGCACAGCCCCCGCATCCCGTGGAGGGCAACCACCCCGTGCCCCGCCAGGACGAGCAGGAAGGGACGTGGCGACTGTGCACCCAGGCTCCCCGGCACATCCAGCCCAGCCCCAGCTTCCCCTGCCCCGAAGAGAGGGCAGAGCACAAAGCCACAAGCATCTTGCAGCGAAAGGCTGCCAGGTCCCCGGAGCGAAGAGGCATGAGCCGAAGGGGCCAGCCTCCCCCCGGGCTGTGCCGAGAGCGAGTGGGATGCTGCGGGGTCACCCTGCAAGGAGTGGTCGGGAGCATCAAGGGCAGCTTGCCTGGCAGCGGGAGCGCCCGCACCAGCCAAGTATGACAAGCACGGCACGTAGGCGGCGAGCTCTGCTCGGGGACAGTTGTGCCATAGGGGATTAACAGCCCACCTTCTCCAGCGGAGAGAGGAGGAACTGGAGGAACGGGGCCAGAGCAGCCTCAGGCCACAGCGATTGCTCCATTAACCACCTTCACCACAAACGAGCCCTGATGACAAACGATGACGCTTGCTTTCATCACTCTCCTCCCAGCAAAGCTGGGGGATCCAGCACGCCCAAATGGCAGCTCCCCTGTTCCCCGATGCAGACAGGCGCGTCTTCTGCCACCGACCAGGCTGTCGAGACAGCCTGGGAGAGGAATTGCCCTCAGCACAAGGGCAAGATGCAAACAAGATGACGGGTAAGTCTCTCGGGCCCTGGCTGTCAAGGGAAGTCTGGTATATTATAAATCACACTGGCCATTTAAATGCAGCTGGATTTAATGCAGACGGCAAGAACTAGGTCATCTGAGGAGTTAAAGGCATCAACAATCTTTACCCAAGTGACGAGGGTCAAACTGTGCCCCCTCCCACCAAGGTCAAGTAAATAGGCTTGTGGACACAGGGCTGTCACCATCCCCAAGGAGCGTTCCTTCCCGGCAGCACGACCCGGCACGCAGGGGCTCGGACACCTGTACAAACAGGGAAAGTGGGGACACAGGAAGGCCACACTGCCCTGCGCAGCACTGGGGTCTGCAACCGAGTGGCACCAAGGGCTCGCGTCCTATGTCTGAGGGGCCATCGTCCTTCCCCGGGCAGGTTTTGCACCTCTGCATGAGCAAGCGAGTTTCGCTCACAATCTCTTTTACTTCCTGCGCTCGGTGAGGACTCGTGGCTGCAAGAATCTTCCCAAATAGCACAGTGCTTTTGAAAAGCAGCCCTGCAGCAGCTCGGCGCAGTATCAACCAGCACTGGAGGCGAGTGAGCCATTTCACGGGTCCAGTGAAGCGGGAGGGCGTGGGGGCCCACAGCCCTCCTCCTGCTCCGCAGGGCTGACAATGCAAGCCGTGAACCAGACGTAATGGAGCAATGCCCAGAGTCAGTTGTTCTCGCTATGTTTGCTGAACCCCAGCCACAACTTACACGTCCTAGAGGGGTAACTGGTTTTATTTGGTATCTCACAATGTTTTAGTTTGTATTTAATGGGCTCTATAAAACCTTAGTAAGTGCAGCTTTTTCAGTTAAAGAGAAATGCCACCGCTGATGCCTGTGCAAACTGGACAGCAACGCTTGGCTTGTTTTCTCCTAACTTCAAAACACGTAAGGGCTTTTTACTCTGACATTTAAGTTTCCTTAAGCTGCTCTAATGCCTGCAGGGGCACGTGGGGGTGAGAGTACAGCTGAGCATTCAGGATCTGGGAGAGAGTAATTTCTGTTTCACCTAGGCTGCACCGAGCTTTTCTTTGGGCCGCCTGACTGCCAAGTCAGATGCTGCATGCACTAACAAGGACCAGAAGTCAGGAGTTGAAGATAAATTAAGAATTTGACATTGACCTTCACAATCTGCGCCAGAGAGTTCTTGGTGACCATTTCGGGCAGTGTCTCCTCGACAGACTTCACAAAAACAAGTCTTTGTGGTAGAAGCTGCCTTCAGAGTCTGCCACACACAAACAGGCTGGCCGAGGGTTAGTCTGACAGGGAGCCATCGACAAGCAGTGACCTTTCTAGCCGTCAGCACGCTTTGCCATCCCCCTTCGATCGCACAGCACAGCAGCACCTCTCACTGCAGCCCTGCTCACTTTTGCTTTGTTGATTCCCCTGCAGCTCTCATCAAATAGCCCCAGCGACACGAGATACAAATGTTAAGGGAGCCTGCTACGCAAGCAGGAAAGCTCCCGAGAGCCAGATCAGGTGCTGCCAGCCCCAGCGTGATGTGCACAGGCGGGGGCGATGTCAGGAGCTATAGAGGCAGCCAGCAGCACCTCGTCCCAGCCCCTCCGCAGGGGAAGCACAGCGGGAAACGCCGAGGCTGTAGCCAGGTATGTGTGGGAAGAACAGCGCTGCGGGTCTGGGGCTGGCTGGTGCTCCAGGGAGGTTTGTAATGGGCACCGTCACTCCTCCTGCAGCTCCTTCTTCCGAAAGGCCTGGAGCCTCCTCCCCACCGTCTGCTGGATGATCTCCAGACCCTCCGCGTCCAGTTCCTTCATGAGAAGCAGGATGGCATTCAGGACATTGTTCTGTTGGCACAAGACAGGCACTGCTTTATGCAAGCACATTAACGCCAGCCCAGAAAAGGACATTTGATTTTCAAAGAGCTGCTCTTTCTAGGAACTCCACCGCCGCCACCACCACCACCGGCAGCAGTTTGCAACAGCCACCTGCAGCTACAGGGACATATCAACCAAGCCCTCGGGGCAGACATGGGCAGAGACTGTATGTGACGAGGCTAACTGGAATGCAGGACAAACCCGTCCGCCCAGTCCCGCACAGACTGCCCACATGCCTCCTGGCCACCCTCCCAACTGGCTTCTGTAAGGAAAGGCGCATTCAAGAGCAGCCGCCCTCTCTCTCCAGCGTGACCGCATGCGATGGGAAAGGACAGGAACCCTCTGATCT